AATACCTCATCACATAAATAAAGTCAATAACAGAAGACGTGAAACTTGAAATCTAAAACTTTAGAAATCAAAGATGCAGTTTGTGTGTGTGACTGTAAAGCAAAGAAATTGGAAAGACAACCAAAGTTCTCTGTCACACGCTGCCAACTAGCCAGAGCGAAAATATCTGACTGCTGCAGCGAGATTAGATGTTCCGGCACAAACTGGAGAAATGGGAAAAAAGTCCAGTCCAAACACCGTGTCACAATTCTGCAACAACTACGTGCAATCATTTGATGAATCACCACAAAGTTCCCGGTCAATACTCAACAGTATATTTGGCTGCAATGTGCCACCTGCAGCACAGGAATCGCTCAGGTGTAAAACACACTACGAATCTACTACTACGCTAATTATCCACTCATATCTATGCGCTTCCCTCGGACTGACCTTCTCTCCCTCCTCCAGGAGCCTCAGCAGGGATGTGTTGTCAGTCTTCTGCTCCTCTTCGGGGCCTCCTGACTCTAATAGCTGCTCCTGAAGCTGCTCCTGACTGTCCTCATCTGCACCGTCCGCTGTGGACCGAGACCTCTTCAGCGGAGCCTTCACCAGGCCTGAGGAGCACAGTGCAAACACAGTGTTACATACAAGCAACACCTCCTTACTTAAGATAGAAACTAATCAGCCCACAGAGGAGGACAGAACTCCTGAATCCATTCAGAAGAGGAAACACTAGAAAGGAAGGACAAATGAGGATTTCTCTGACTCTTACTCTACGTCTAACAGCATCAGCGCCACAGTTCTGTCTCTTTACCTTTGACTTTAGCGATGGTGTCCTCTCCGTGCTCCAGCTCTTGGTGCGTGGTCTCTCCCTCAGTGCTGTGCTCTACAGAGTGCTGGTACATGCCGGGGTTTCCGGACAGCAAACGCATGAAATACTCCTTACTGTCGTAGCTGATGGCGCGACGGTAACGCAGAGGTTTCTGGGGAGGAGAGGAGGAGGTGAGACCATGTAGCACTGCATGACTCCACTTTGATTAGACTTAAAAAAAATTGGCTTTGTCAGCGTCAAAACACAAAACACATGCTTCAGTTAGTTATTCTTCATCTTTATATTCTATGGATCAAAATAAAAGGTCGATGTATTGACGATGCCTTGCACGGCTCCTGCATGATGCTGCAAGAATATCAGTGAGAGGAGCATCACACAGGGCAGAAACGTGCTGCAATAGCGCAGTGAAGTGGTGACGTGGTTCAGCCTGTGCTGTATGTCAGATTTCACATCCACAGGCCGCCTGCTTAACCAAGCGTAGGTGCTTCATTCTTCCACTCCCAGAGTTAAAGCCAAACGCACTGGTACCATGTTATTCATGTTGTCACACCCTGTCCACAGACACACAGGTGGGCATTTGAATGAGTCACCTTAGTGGTAGTTCCTGGTACTGCGCATCCCCTGGACCACATTTTGGCATGACCACACACACACACACACACACAGACTTGCATGGTTTAAAACAACATGTGTGTTACGCTCATGCAGTCACAGCAAGCATCAGTGGGGGCCAAACTGGTTTTTCCA